TTTCTGTACTCTCTACACAAATCCACAACCGTCTAAAGAAGACCCATACCCTTTCAACTCCGAACATGCGCAGGCATGGGCATGTGGTTGAGCCTTGCTCCATGCCGCCGTTTCGTCGGTTGAAAAAAACCAACCCTGAGCGTCCTGGATTTCAACTCGCTTTTGCGGGCCAGCTGCTCACGGCCACAGCGGGCACGCTTTGTCCAGCACGTAGGAGTTCTCGGACCTTCTGGTCGAAGTTGTGGAGCGCACGTTCGCTTTTGTCCTTGACGAAGCTTTCGCTGACAAAGTATGGGATCTCAAAGGGGGCGTGGTTCTGTGCACGGGGTTGGGGAACTTCGTCGTCTTTGTAAAAAACGAGAGTTATGCAGCGCGTCACCACCCAGGAAGAGCGACAGGAGGAGCGTTGCAAGCAAATCAAAAGCACCGGTGCCAATTGCCGGAGAGTTTCCCACGGACCGACGGCTCGCCACGCGTTTGGCTCCCGGCGCCTGTCTCTGCCGCTGTCTCTGCCCGCTGTGTGCTGCTGTTGCGCAAAAACACGCCATTTTAAATGGATCAAACCCGTTTCCAAAGCTCTGGAACGTAAACCCCCATTATTTCCACCAAACGTAAAGGTTGTTACCACCTGGTGCAACACCACCGCCGAAAAACATGTTAAAATGTCGTCCTCAAACCCACGTGGCATGCACACCACAACCATGGCCAAAAACCACGGGGAAAAATCCGCCCGCCATTTGCCGCGCCAGCGGCATTTGAAGAATGACCTGAAAAACCGCGAGTCTGGGTCGCTGCCTGTTTTGATTCAAAACACGCGTTTTTTGCCCGGGTCGCTGAGGCACTCCCCATGCACCTTATTCAAATATTTGAACGCCTCACTCTTTGCACGTGGATGCGGGTTTTTTGTCCGGGTGGAGTTTAATTGCAAATTGCCAATTTTTTTTAGGTAGGTAGGATGGGATTTTTGATGGTGGAGTCGGAGGCGGTTTTCTCGCACTCGAGGATCATAGTACTGGTGCGGCTTATATGATAATACCCTGAGCACGAGCTTCTCCTGGTCCGCGGAGTGTTTTTGTGACATGGCTCTTTGTGTATATGATTATCTTTTTTAAGTAGGGGGGTTTTTTAATAAAAAATTCCGGCGTTTGATGTAACTTTTCTATTTCCACAGCAGGAGATTTCGCTGTAGCCACGTCAAATCCAGTGCGCTCTGTTGGCCATTTTCCGCGGCGCCATGCAGGGCAGTTGGCTTCATCGTCGTGCGAATTTGAGGATAAGCTTGGTGGCCAAGGAATCCCCAGAAAAAAAAAAAAAAAAAAAACATTAAAGTATCCATCTTCGCGGAGATCGGGGAGAGAGATCTGGGGAGGCGGCCGGATAAGTGGGGAAAGGGGGGACTTTTAATGATAATTGTTTGAAAGATCCAACTTTATTTTTCTTTTTTTTTTTTTTTTTTTTTTGTTTAATTAAGTATCGCCACTAATTAATAAAATCCACGTAGCCATAGGACCAAAGGTCCTGTCTCATAGCTGTCCAATTGCACACTGTGAAGCCGGGTGGAACACTAGACTATGGGCAAGGTAGCAAAAAAAAAAAAAAGCCATTCTCATGAAGAAAAATGCCCTCTAAAAATCCAAAAAATATTGCATATTTCTCATCAATCGCAAGAATATCTAAGCATTGTGTTTCTCGATTGTTTGAGAAACTTTGAAGTAAACGCAAATATTTTACGTCAAACACCTAATTCCAGAAATGAAAGGTGGTCATGGGTCATCTCTCGTCCATGTGATGAAGATGAAATGAAACATTCGATGCAGTCAACAAGCACGAGGGTGAGATCATTGAGCAAATTACGCAAGATTGGCGTATATGCGTTTATGGCATGGAGGTGTTTAACGACATACATAATTCCCACGCAGATCAATAATTCCAAGCATGTCATTTCCTCCGCGTGCGAAGCGAGAAGCAGTCCCCATGCCTGGCAACCGGAAAAGCCCGAGCAACCGATGCCGGGGCAGCCATACGAGTGTGGCAAAGGGCCACTGTCCATGAAATAGGGAGAAGGATGGCAACCGGGCAGCAAGCTGTATGTTCGGTATATAAAAACATCGCTTGGCATGCCAGCACATTCTTCGACGAAACTAAGCCACGAGGCCTAGACGAGTAGAGATCATATGAAGGCCGCGTCAATACTGTGGAAATCAAGACATTTATGTCATCCTTGATAACCTCCATGGTTAGATTGTAGATATTTGTATATCCGAAAGGTATTTCCGACCGAAAGGATAAATACGCTGCTAAAGTTCATAATCATCTGTTGTATTTAGAAAACACTCTGTCTTTTCCACATACATAACAATGTTTATATTTGACCTACAACCATCATCGAAAAGTACAAGGCATTATAGACGGGTCACAAGCCACAAAATATGGGTTCTTTTGATCAAAAAGAACTGGTGACTAAAAACATTCTCGTAAATGCTTTTAGAATCTCTTAAAGCCACTTGAAAAAATATTATTGATTTACAATGGTGAGTCCCCTCTAAAAGATCGCCCTTGGATAACCCACGCTAGGTCACAATTCGAATATTTGAGGTAAAATTCTCAGCCCAAGAAAAAGCAAATTGTTTATATTTTCACATGTCGTCGCATTCCCATTACAATACCCGATTCGGAACGGTTGTCAAAAGAAGATATCGATGTGATGGGTTGCGATATTTCAAAGGCAGAGCAAACATCAATTCTGGGGGTTGGTAATTCAAAAAGAAAAAAAAAAGAATAATGAATTTCCAATTTTTTTTTTTCACAATTTCTTTAGATCGTTCATGTATATTTGTGTCACTGGGAATATCTTTGGCGAACTAACAGTTGCTTAAGCCACGAAATGGCACTCAGATCTCTCCCCCCAGTTCACGTGAAAGATCTTGATTGGCGGACTTGTATCACGTTTGAGCCTTGAGGCATACAAGTCTAGACAGCAAGTTCACGTGATGTCATATATTTCAGGATATCTGGGCCATTTTGGCTCTGGTCTTCAGTTCATGCTCAAAGAATCAAGGCATTGAATGTTTAAATATTTTAAAAGATGATTCAAAGTAGGTCCTTTTTTCTTGTGAAAAAGGTTGGAATAACTTGAAAGAAAAATGTTAGGTGCCATTGGTAGGAATTATTTTGGTGTTGTATCAAGGGAACTTTCCCATATTTAATAAACTCACCGCAAAGAAAAGAAAAATCTATATGGGGGATCCGGGATCAAATATTTGGAAAAAAAAAAAAAACCAATGATATTGAAGAAGATGTATGCCATAGTTACCTTTTGATAAATGAAGGTGAATTCCGGGTAATAATTTTCAGGAGTGTGCGGATCAGAGTGATCAGGCGCCCGGAGCCCATCGGCGGACTTCGGAACGAAAGTTGATGGGAAGCGATTCATCGTCCCCGGCTGCATTTATCCTGCGGTTATCAACTTGGACTTAGAAAACCCAAGACTAGTAGGGCGATGGACAGGGGATTCGGAACCGACCCCATTAGATTCTGTTCTCCATGGTGGATGGGATTCCGAAGCGACCCGGAACGAGAAACGTCGTCTTTCCGATACATGGAGAGACAAAATACGCCAATCACACACCAAAACCGGGTCTCGACCTTCGAACATAACATCCTTGTTCTTTCAATGAGGTCTATAACGAAAACTTTTACTTTACCTCCCTCTTAAGTTTCCCAAGACCAGCAGCGTTGGCGGCGTTGGACTTGAACTGAATTGGCCGACAGAACTTTGACTGTCCGGATCTGCTGGAAAAATCCTTTGCCGCCACCAGGTTGGAGAATTGGATGGGATCCACGGTCCTTCGGGAAATTGATCAAAGTATCGTCCACCTCTGCACATACAAGAATGTCTGTTTCTAGTCCCCTGCTGCTTGCAACAAACAGTTTTGGAGGCCTTAAACTCTTGCTTACGAGAACCGCGATAACTTTTTTGAAGCACAAGAAAAATTACAACAAGAAATTTACGAGATTTTTCTTCTGTTTTCGATGATGACTTGGGCTTTGCCTTAACACTGTTTTTGAACAGGGTGTTTATTACTTTTTGCAACGTCAACTTCGAAAATTGAAAGATCCCTCGATGATTTCAAATTTGTCCCACACGAACAGTGAACGTCGGGAAATGGAACAAAAACGATTACCAAAATTGGTTTACTGTAGGAAAATATTTGGTAGGACTGTCGTCCGCTCTCTTTTCGCAAGTTTCCCCCCAAATTTTATCTAAAACATTTTATATTTGAAAGTCACTTATAATAAAATGAAATGGGTTGTAACTTTGATTTTATTTCCTCACAATTTTGATGCATAACATTTACCACCTTTTCATGTTTACCTAAACTTGCGAAAACGGGCCATAGTTTATGTTTATATCCTCATCATACCAAATGGGAAAAGCTAGGGGCCACCATGACGGCCTCCGAGATATTTTCAAGACGACCGATTTTTTTTTTTTCTTCCATAGCTGACAGAATTTGCTTGGAAGTGTAGCAAAAGATTTGCAGGATAGTTTAATGAAAATATACATTGGATTTCCTTTCCTTTCTTGTTGGTTCACTTCAAGTTAAATCTTCATAAAGAGTTAAATATTAGGTCTTTCCATAAGTTTAGTATAAAATTGATCTTTTTTCATTTAATTAGTCATGGATTCACTTTACAACCTGCTCTACTCGTAAAAAGGTAGAATGGGTTAATAACTACGAATTGATTATGTCCTTCGTACGGTCACCGTGCGGCTTAACGGGGGTTTTGTGACACAGGTGTACGTTGATCTTTCTTAGCAAAAGTGGCTGAAATGAGTCGACTGTCGAGGGGCCCACTAAGTTGTAAGGCCCAGCAAAATCAAGTTTATTTATAAGCTCTACCCATATTATCAGAAACGACAAGAAAAACCAGAAAAAAACTTTAAAGGCAAATCTATTCAAAGTTAAGCCGAGAAATTTCAGGTTAAAATTATACCTTAAAAAACAATGCAAAAACCCAAAAATTATAGCGGGGGGTAAATTTGTTTAAAGAATCATTGGTGAAAACCTTTCTGGTCCATTGAGCGTTATGATGGAATTTAAACGCAGTCTTTTC